ATTCATATTTATCAAAATCACATAGTTTATAAAAAATTTTATAAATCACAAATTATCTACCTGCTTATCCATATTATTCATTCTAAAACCCATTTATTTATCTGTCTTATTATTCTTTTAAAAACTCTTTTCGAAGATTTTAATCAATTTCTTTTATATAGAAAGGTAAAATAGGTTCCCATTTACCATTTCTAAATATTTTTACAGAATGACAATATTTATTATCATCATAATTATATTTAAGCCAAATACTATTAAAAATATATAAATATATAAATATATAAATATATATATATATATATATATATTATATTTATATTTTTTTATTAAAATAATAATACTCATTTATTATTTCTATTAAATTTATGTCTTTGTAAAAAATTTTATAATTCTATTTGTCTTAAACAAGTATGACATATAAATCTTGTATAATCGCTATATTCTGAGTATTTATATCTTTCAACTAATTCCTGTAAATCGTATATACATTCTGGCTTTTCACATTATATATTTCTGAAAGGTATTATTTTCTTTTCACCAGATTATTTAGTAAATATGGATTATATAATGTATTATTTATGATAATTTTATTCGAAAAATTTAAAATGTAAATCATTTTTTGTTTTTTATTTAATTTATCAATAAATATTTCTTCAACATTCATATTTATATATAATTATTTAAATTAATATGTTTTTATATTAAACAATAATTATATTATTATTAATTTTTATTAATTATATGTTTATTTAATATATAATAAATTAATTATATTAAAAAAAAATATATATTATTTTTAAAAATTATAAAAAAATATTATTTAAAATAAATAACTTTTTATAAATAAAATAAAATAAGATATATATATTATAATTATAATTAAATAAAAAGAAAAAAATAAAAAATTTTATAATATAATTAAATGATATATAAGAAAAATTTAAATATATATTATTTATATATTTTAAGAGTAAAATAAATATTTAATAAATATTTTTATTTTAAAAGTTTAATATAAAGATTAAAAAAATATTTTAAGTATATAACTAAAATAAATAATTAAATAATTATAGAAAAATCATAAATAAAAATTAAAATATAACTAAATAAAAAAATTAATTAAAAAAAATATAGAAAAAATAAAATTAATAATATATAAAAATAAAAAATAAACAATTTAAATATATATATATATATAAATATATATATATATATATATATATTTATATTATCATTAAAATCTATTAAATAATAAAAGAAATATAAATATAACTAATATAAAATATAATAAAATTAACCAACTAATAAATTAAATATTAAATAAAAAAGAATTTTTTATATATTTTTATAATAAAAAATTTAATATAAATATTTATAATAAATAATAAAATCAATATATACATATTTTTTTTTTTTTATATTTAAATTATTATTTATTAAAATTTTACTTTAATTAAATATAAGTTTATAAAAAAATATTAAAAAAATAATAATTTATATTTTTTTTTTATTTTATATAAAATAATTATATATATTATTATATAGTTTATGTCTTTTAAAAAAATTAATTTTTTATACAAATAAAATTATAAAAAATATCTTAAATAAAAAATATATCAAAATTTTTATATTTAAAAATAAAAAATTATTTTTTATATTAATTTTTATTTAAATAAATATTTTATTAAATAAAAAATAATATTTTAATTTTTTTTTTATTATTATTATATTTTTATTTTATATTTTTTTTATAATTTTATTTTTTTTATTATTATTAGTATCATTATCATAATTTTTTTAGTATTTTTTTTTTTTTTATTATTATTTTTATAATTATTATTATTATTTTTATTATTATTATTATTATTATTATTATTATAATTATTTTTATTATTATTATTATTACTATTACTATTATTATTTTTTTTTTATTATTATAATTTTTTTTTTTTTTATATGTATAATTTTAATTATTTTTTATAAACTATTATTTTATTTAATTTTTAGGTTAATAAATTTTAAATTTTTTTTTTTTTATATATAATAGTTTTAATTTATACAATTTTAAAAATTAATTACAATATTTTTACCTTTTAAAAGAAATTATTTTAAAAAAAAAACCAATAAAGATGAAAAATAAAATTATATTTATAAATAAAAATATAAATATTAAAATAATATATTTTTCATCTAAAATTATTTTATTAATAATATAAAATATTTTATAATAAATAAATTTAAATAATATATAATTTAATATTAGTTTTATAAATAATAAATTATATATTTTTTTTTAAAATATTAAAATATTATTTAAAATTTAATCAATTATATTTATAATATATAAATGAATATGTAATATATTATGATGAAAAAAATATTTTTTATATTATCTTTTCTAGTTTTTATAGTTTTTTCTCAAAATTAAGTATTATTAAAATAATGTTTATTTAATAAATTTAGTTTTTATGATTTATAAAATTGTGGTTTTGAAATGGTTGGACTTATTGGAGGTTCTTATTCCACATTATGTGGTAAATATACTTTTTTGGGAGGATATGATGCATGCGGAAAAAAATGTGTTATAAGCAATATAATTTAATCAAATAAACCCATACATAGTTATTTAATCAAATTTTCATATATATTGATTGATTAATGGGATAGAGGCTAGTATGTGTTTGTTAAAATAAATGGATAAATTGTATATACACTTAGAAAATATAATACATATAAAAATATGTGTGGATTAGCAGCGGCTGAAGATATGTTAGGTATGGATTTTACACATTAAACTAGTGATTAAAATATTAAACTTACAATTTCTAATAACTTTAATTATGGCCCTAATAATGGATTTTTTGGTATAAGGGAATTTGTAATTTATGCTAATGAATGCATGACTGAATGTTTAGAATGTACTGACAATACTTCTTGTAGTAAATGTCCAGTAGGCTAGTATTTAGAAAGAGGTAAGTGTATTAATTGTATTGCAAATTGCGAATAATGTTCAAAAAGAGACTCATGTGATTTATGCAATAAAGGGTTTTTTAATAATAATTCTTAATGTGTTTTGGCTTGTCCAAATAATAAATATGTAGATAATGCAACTAGAACTTGCAATGATTGCAATCATAAATGTTAAACTTGTTCTAATGCAACCGATTGTGACACTTGCTTTGCGAATAGAGTTGCACGTGCTTGCGGATGTCCTGTTAATAATTATGATAATTTGATTTACTATTAAGCATGTTTTGCATGTTCTAAAATATCTGTTGGATGTTCTAGTTGTGATAATAAAACATGTTTTGCATGTTTACCACCGCGTTTTTTAGATGAAAATTAATGTTTAATGGACTGTCCTGTAGGTAAATGGGGAAATACAGTAAATAGATAATGTACAGCTTGTTTAGAAAAATGTGAAACTTGTTCTAATAATAATACTTGTGACACTTGCTTTCAGAATAGAGTTCCTTAATAATGTAATTGTCCTTAATATTCTTATGATAATTCTAATTACTAATAAGCTTGTTTTGCATGTTCTAAAATATCTGTTGGATGTTCTAGTTGTGATAATAAAACATGTTTTGCATGTTTACCACCGCGTTTTTTAGATGAAAATTAATGTTTAATGGACTGTCCTGTAGGTAAATGGGGAAATACAGTAAATAGATAATGTACAGCTTGTTTAGAAAAATGTGAAACTTGTTCTAATAATAATACTTGTGACACTTGCTTTCAGAATAGAGTTCCTTAATAATGTAATTGTCCTTAATATTCTTATGATAATTCTAATTACTAATAAGCTTGTTTTGCATGTTCTAAAATATCTGTTGGATGTTCTAGTTGTGATAATAAAACATGTTTTGCATGTTTACCGCCGCGTTTTCTAGATGAAAATTCATGTTTAATGGCCTGTCCTGTAGGCAAATGGGGAAATACGGCAAATAGATAATGTACAGCTTGTTTAGAAAAATGTGAAACTTGTTCTAATAATAATACTTGTGACACTTGCTTTCAGAATAGAGTTCCTTAATAATGTAATTGTCCTTAATATTCTTATGATACTAACGTTTTCAATTAAGCATGTACTATGTGTTCTACGTTTTAAACCGGATGTGCTACATGCAGTGCAACTGAATGTCTTACATGTATAACTCCTTATTATTTTTAATTAAACTCAAACGGATAATGTGATTCATGTTTAACTATAATGACTAAAATGTATTTTAGTGATGATCTATTGTATTTAATTATAGATTTTGGTCATTATTTTACTAATTTATAAGTTCAACTAATTCTCTATAATTTAGATTTATAAAATTATTCTTCTTAAATATAATTTACTAATTAACTTTGCATAGAAACATTGGATTAAGCTTTTATTTCTTTTAAATTATAAGGAAATATTTTGTGTTCTTTTGATAAATATTTAAAAACACTTACAGTTAAACTTGATTCTGTAAGTACTGTTAATAAGGATGATATAATAAAAATAAAACCTAGTGTATTCAAAATAACAAACAATGGATTTGAATGCCCTCATTTTCTTTAATAAATAACTGGAAAAGTAATCTTAGACACAAGCCCAGTTATAGAGTTAACTTAAACAAGTCCTGTTTCGATATGTTAATAAGCATAAATAAGAATATCTAGTGTTTCTAATTGTGGAAATAGAAAATTAAAATAAATTACTTGGACTCTTATTTCTTCTAATGTAAATACGGCAAATGAAATAAATGAAATAAATATCTAAATCTAATAATATAATAACCAATTATATTTAGAAATACGACCTTTATTACTGAAAAAATAAGGGTAATACTAATTCTAAGTAACTGTAACTACATTTTTTAACCAAGCAGCAACTGCAAACGCAATAATATAAACTTTAGCAGACACTTCGATAGACATAAGGGTAAAATAAAATCCGAGTTAAATCTATAGAAGTAGTTTAGTGAATGTAAGTTTGAATTTTGATATTTTGTAATGTGAAGATGATAGAAAAATATTTTATAATTAAGAAAATGTTTATGAAGTATAAATAAAATAACATGATAATTTAACTGAATAATTAAACATTGATTTCACATAATAAATTTAAGGAACTTAATTTTAATTTTAAATAAAACCTTTTATTATGAAAGTGAGTACAACATATAATATATAAATTATTGCTTCTTTAAAATCTGATACTAAAATTACTCAATAAATATTATTCCCAGTATAAGTTCTTTCTAATCCTCCTTTAGTTTAAATTTTAGGAGGAAATAGATAATAATTATTTTCTTAAAATTTTGATATACAAGCAATAGTAGATGATCCTAATTTATCCCCAAGTGAAAAAGATTTATTAAAATCAACAAATTATGGAATAAATATAAAATGGTAATGTATCAACCTCAATACTGGAAACGACTGTAAAGATGCATAAAATAATTTAATTGTTTCTCCAATTAAATAAAACTTATAAATTAGCATATAAAAGAATATTTTAAAGGCTTATTAATAATATTAATTTAAATTATCAGGAACAAAAGATGGAGTAACCGCGTCTGATTAGATAACAATATTAATGGTTGATTATTCGGTTCCTCCTGTTAATCCTACTATTTCTATAAATAATACTTAAAATACAATAAATTTAAATTAAGAAATATTTATTTAATTTGATTGTCAAGAAGATACAAATGTTGATGACTTAATAATTACAGGAGTTATTTTATATTAGAAAAAATAAGTAAGTATAATATCAATAATTACATTTAATTAAGATTTAAAGTTTGGGAATTATTCTTTGACTTTTAAAATTAAAATTAATTTGAATTAAAATTTTCAGTAAGAAATCCGAATTTTATAATACCAAAATTAATTTCTTATTCTTTAAATGCTAACATACCTCCCAAATATTGTGTTTTTGATTAAACTACAGGCTTTGAAGTTAGAAATATGTAAGACAAATAAATTCTTACAATAAATGAATGTATTGATAGAGATTAACCTTTGTCATATTCTTTCTATTTTTATAAAAACTAAGATGATTATAATAATGAATTATTAAATGCTTAATATATTCATAGACATTTATTATCTGATTTCTCACCAAATAATAATATTAAAACTGTTTTACCTTTTGGCGCGTCTTTAATTATGGCAATAATATAAGATTCAAAAGGAGGAATAAGAAATATAACTTAATAAATAACAGTAAGCCAATATAGTTAAGACAGTTCTTCTTATTACACATTTATAAATAATTGGTTTACTTAAATTTAATAAAATAATTTAAATGAATATAAGATTACTTATTATAATATGATTACTTATGATATAATTAATCATGTGAATGTTCTAGCATTGCAAACAGATGTTTAATTTATATAATTATATATTGATATTTTAAATGAAGTTCTAAATTTGTAAAAATATTTTTAATAATAAACTAACTCTATTGAGTATTTTTTATAGACACAAATAACATTAAATTTGATATTTGGTAACTTTCTCAATCAAATAGCATAATAATTATTTAGTAAAATCCAACATTTTATTAATAATATTGAATTAATAATAACTGATTAATAAATAATAATTAAAAATATAGAAATTTCTGACACAACATAATATTAAAAATCTTTTTAATCAGTATAAGTTCTTATATTGTAGGCAAAAATAATTTAAAATATTTATTAAGTTGATAGAGAATCATTTTATCATAAATAAAACTCATTATTAGATAAATAATACATGTAAATAATGAAAATGATATCGTAAACTTTAAATGTGTTTTTGATTTCAAACGAGAATCCTATAAATGTTCTAAATATAATTTCTACACAAACAATAACATATAAGATTTTAAATGAAAAATATTTGAAATTATTTTCAAATGCATAATATGATAGTATAAATATAGAAAAAAATTAAGAAAATCTATAATACTATGTAAATTATTTAGAATATCCTTCTTCTGTAATAAATTATGATGAAAACTTTCCTTACTCAAACCATCCTTTTAGCATAAATGAAAAGACAATAACTTTTAAATATAATTAATAATAAATAAAAATTAATATTCTTTTATTCAACATTTATAATTTATCTTAAGCTGTAAATAATGTTGGAGATTATATTTGCATTTAAAATATTTAAGGCAAATGGATTTCTAAAGATTGTATAATTTTATATTATACTAATAACTAAAATAAAATTTAATAATTTATATGTTAATGCAAAACTCAAGGAAAATAAACTCTTGTTAATGATATAAATGGAATATTTAAAGTTACTCGTATAAATGATTGGTATTTGTATGCTTCTGTATGGATTTTAGTTGCTGCTACAATAATTTATGTGATGCTATTTATATATTTATAATAAATTGATAATATTCAATACTAAAGAATGTAATAAAGCACAATAAAAAGATATTAGATCACAGAAATTATTTTTAATAAGAATATAAATGATGAAGAACGAAATATTTAAATAGCTAATATAATAAAAAAAGATGAATAAATTTTTCAAATATAAAATTAAAATCTATTGAAAACTCTCGATTAATAAATAAGTATTTTTTAAAGCAAATATTATTTATAGAAGCAAAATATTATTTTATATATTTAAATAATTTTTTTTTAAATAATATTATAAAATCACTAATTGAAAAAAAAAAAACTTATAGTTTAACAAAATTATAAACAAATATAAATAAATAAATTCAACAATAAAATTATATATATATATATTTATTATTAATCTATACATATTTTTTTTATTTAATTTTTTATAGATTCTTAAGCTAATTTTTTAAAAAATAAAGAATTTAGCTAGAGTAATTAGTAGTTTGAAACTTAAGTTTTAGATTAATTATAATAATAAAATATTATAGTAAAAAATAAAAATGATACATAATAAAACAATTTATTAGGTTCTTTGATCTTAAAATAGGTATAATCTGAAAAATTAGAAGGGAAAATATAAAAGATATTACCATTAAAAAATAAATCTCATACAATAGAAAATAATAATAATAATAAGCCAATAGCTGAAAATTAGTAAAAAAGAGGTGATTAATTAATAACAGAAGATAAAATAGAAACATTTATTAAACGTAAAATTAGTAAATTATCTTCTTAAAAATATGGTAGAAATGGTTTATAATAAAGTAATTTAGGAGATGAAATATAACCTGAAAACAATTATGATAAAATTTAAGATTCGGAAAATAATTAGGCTAAACTTTAAAAAAATAGTTTAGTTAAAAGAAAAAAATAATAATCAAGTTTTAATCAATTGTAAAATTAATAAAACTAATAAATAAATAAAAATGTTAAAAATAATAATAAATATGAAGAAAAAACAAAGGATAGTGGAAAATAAGTTAAAAAAGTTCAGTCTAAAATTAATTAATCAGAATAATAAAAACGATAAAGTTTTAGCTCTTTATCACAAATAAATAATAAAATATCTATCTATAATTAATTTAATGAATCTATTATTTTGTAAAATTTTTTATAAATAAGTAAAATTGTTTAATTTATTTATCTACATGAATTAGTTTAAATATTTATTCTTTTTGATTAATTTTTAAGTAGACCTTTTAGAATAACTTAATAATATGTAAAATATGTTATTCTTATTACTGTTAATTCTATTGTATTCTATGATTTAAAAACTGTATTATTAATATTAGATAATTCGTTATTATTATTAAGTATTAACTTATTCATCATTATAATAGAAAGTATCTATAAATTGAACAAAAGAATATATAAATATTTAATTTATCTCATTTTCATTTCTATTGTCATATTTTGTTTTTACATTATTTGTGTTAGTATTTAAAATAAATTTTATAAGAAATACAATGATTGGTTGCCTTTTTATTTTTTAGTAATTTTTTTGATATTTTTGTTTATTAAATTGTTTCTGTATTTATTAAATATAAACTATTTATTTAATATGTTCCTAATATAATCAATAAAGAATGCTATTGGATTAAAATGAAGCTATTTAATATTCTTAATTTAGAAAATTTTTTAATGAATATATATAAAAAAAATATTAAAATTGATAACTTTAATATTTTATTTGCTTAATTTTATATATATTTTTATTAAAATTAAATATTTAAATTTTAATTGATAAATAATAATATAAATAAAAATTAAATATTAAAAAAAAAAAAATTAATTAACAATTTTTAACAAAAATAAAATTCTTTAAGATATTTTTTATTATATCCTTAATTAAAACTAATATAATTTTCTTTTATATAGAAGATAATTTTTAATTGTTATATTTATAGAAATAAAAAAAAATTAAGATAATAAATTATTTAAAAAATTTATTCATTAATGATAAGATTATATTAAATTAAATAATTATAAACAAATAAAATTATAAATAATAATTTATTATTGTTAAAATTTAATAAATAATATAGAAATATATATATATATGTATATCATTTATATACTTTTTATATTTTTTAAAATGTTTATTATATTATCTTATAAATTATTTAAAAATAAAAAAATAATTTAAATTAAATAATTTTTAAAATATATACATTAATTTATAATTATTTTTTTATAAAAGAAAAATATATTATGAGATTAAAATAAATATTAATTGTTTTTTACAAAAAAAAATTAAATATAATTATATTAAAAATATGCATAAATAATATATTTTTTTTAAAAAAAATTATTAAAATAATAAATATAAAATTTAAATTTATATTTATATTTATATTTATTTATAATAATTATTTTATTAATATATTAATACATCATATTTTTATACATTTAATTCAATATATATATTTTTAATAAATTTTTATTTATATTAATGTTATTTTGAATTTAATATAATATAAATGATGAATATTAAATTAATCATGTACAAAAAAATTATTTAATATTAAAATTAAATCCTTTTTATTAGTTTTTTTTTTAAAAAAAATTATTGCTAAAAAAATGTTTATTCGGTAATTTTAATATAAACAATATTGAAGATTGTGGTATTGAAATTACTGGAATTATTAGTATTACTTATATTTATATATGTGATACCATATATCTTTTAGGAGAATATAATATATGCGGAAATAAATTTATTATAAGAAATAATATTTAATCAACTAAATCTTTATATAGTTATTTAGTTAAATTTTCATATATATTGATTGATAAATAGGAAATAAAGGAGCTATTGATTGCTAAAATAAATGAATAGTTTGCACATAGTGTTAAAAAAAATTGATGGAATGTATATTCTTTTGGATAACCAACGGGTGAAAGACTAATAACTGCGAAATTTTCATTTTAAACTAGATATTAGAAAATTAAACATACATTTACTAATTACTTGAATGAAGCTCCTGATAATGAATCTTTAGGCATAAGAGATTTTATAATTTATGCTAATGAATGTATAGATGAATGTTAAGAATGAACTGACGGTGTTTCTTGTATTAAATATTTAGTATGTTAATATTAAGATAAAAGTATGTATATTTTGTATTTGCAATTAAAATATTTAAGGTAAATAATTTCTTAAGATAGCATACTTTTATATTAATCTAATAACTAGAATAAAATTTGATAATTTATATGTTAATGCAAAACTCATGATAAATATACTCTTT